AAATTAGTCATTTCTTACTATGCAAAAAATAAAAACACTAACTTTTTTCATTGAGGATATAGAGGAACGATGTCTTGATCAAAGTTGTAGACAATGTAAAAACAAGCAACTTCAATCCGGACGTCAACATTCTAAATCCTGTATTTTCAAAGTTATGGAGCTTTTTCTATGGAAGTTCCCTTAAATTTAGTTTTTCATACTTAATTTCTTTAAAGTTCATTTTTCAAGTGTACAATGTTCTAGACAATTATTCAAACAATCAAAACACGCGTTTTTGCTGAAGATCATGAATCATTACAATTACTCCTTGTAAAGTTATAACAACTTTTATCTTTATTTTGCCATTACTTCATAAGCTTTTAGGAGAGAATGGGGCAAGTGAGGACACAATGCAATACACTAACGGTCTTCTACAAATACATGTGTTTTTACTGTTTTAAGATTATTTAGAACATTATATACTTCAAATATAAAAGATTAAAAAAATATGTATAAAAAACCTAAAAAAAGGTGGAAATATATGAAAAACCATAAATAATAAGGTTATTGTACTCAAATTTGGGAAGAGAGCGACAAATGAAACCTTCTCAACTTTATAGTACTTGAGCTAAGCTTCAAGAAAAAAAAGTTGGTTTTGTGTCTTCACTTGCCCCATTCTCTCCTAAAAGCTTATGAAGTAATGGCAAAATAAAGATAAAAGTTGTTATAACTTTACAAGGAGTTATTGTAATGATTCATGATCTTTAGCAAAAACGTGTGTTTTGATTGTTTGAATAATTGTCTACAACATTGTACACTTGAAAAATGAAATTTAAAGAATTTAATTGTGAAAAACTAAATTTAAGGGAACTTCCATAGAAAAAGCTCCCTAACTTTGAAAATACAGGATTTAGAATGTTGACGTCCGGAGTGAAGTTGCTTGTTTTTACATTGTCTACAACTTTGCTCGAGACATCGTTCCCCTATATCCTCAAAAAAAAAGTTAGTGTTTTTATTTTTTGCATAGTAAGACATGACTAATTTTTGACAGTTTTATATTATGTAAGATATTCATACAAACATTTTTTCCGAAGACACTATATGGCTAAAATGTTAAGGGTAGGCTCTAGAAATAAAGTTCCGCTTTTGCCGTTTTTTACCACAGTCAGTGCACTGCACAGTGGTCCAAAACGGAAAAATACATGGAAATTGGGTTTTGCGCAAAATCTACAGGTTTTAGCGTTTTGATGTCTTCGAAAAAGTTGTTGGTAATGAAAAAGCGCATCTTTTCATTGGATCCGTCATTAGGGTGATTCAATTTAGGGTGACTTCAAAAATCTAACTCTTCAGGAAAATTTTTGGGAAGGTTAGGGTAATGCATGATAAAACAATTTTTTGACCATAATCTTTTTTGCTTTGTATTTAGAGAAAACTGTTATTCAGAACACTTATAGAACTTTAAAAAATACACATTTTGATTACCTAATTATGACGTTTGGACCAATTAATCAAAAGATATAGTCATTTTAAGGTAAGAAAGAAGTATTTTTCAAACTAATATAACTTTAAAATGCGCAATCCAAATTCAAATCTATTGAAAGTAATGGAAAGAAGAAATTTGGTTCTTTATATATAGTTCAAAATTTACCGATCGGCAGTTGATTGTTGATATTTTATGTAGCTGGTTTTGTCAAATTTTGTGAAAACAAGCTTTCCGAAGACTTAAATATGCAATGAAGCAATTTCTTTTACATTTTTGTATAATTTTATTCATACATATAGGGGTGGCACTCTTGCCCCGTGTGAGTTTTTAAGAAAATTAGTTTTGACCAATTATACGGAATATATTCTTTGCTATTGGTGTTTCAATTATTCATTATTAGTGATGCCTCAATGCAGTAATTGTAGAAAACAATATTGGGAAATTCCAAAATCCTTATTTGATGATGTCTAATTATTATAAGTAATTGCTATTTTTGACACATCAGCACAAAATGTTGTTATGCAATTTTTGTAATACTTCATTTTGGACAGAACTTTCTATAATGCTGCATAGGAACACCATTCATAGTTTCATTGGTGAATTAGCATTGCAAACATGTTTATTTTCAAAATTATAGGGGGAGGTCGATCGAAATACGGGGTGCCCATTTGAACAACTTTGCTAATGGCAGGAAACTTCTATCCGATTTCGATGCTGCGTTATTACTAGATGAACTTTATTTGTTTTCTTGCGCCAAATAGTGAGTTAGTTCCCAACTAAAGGGTGTTACGATCAAAACTTGGACGACTTAAACTTGACGAATTTATTTTAAACACCCCTCATTTTGTAGGTGTGTGCGTGCAGAATGATGCTTCTATTTTGATTTTGACATTTGCTCTTCAGTTTTGGCGTTCAAGCAAGAGGAGCAATGCATCAAAATTTTGCACGCGCATCGCGGAAATCCGAACTACTCGCACGCAAGGCAGACTACAAACAGCTTTCTGTACAGGAGTTTTATAAGGAAACCAGAAGAGGAAAGGTGGTAAACATTTTCAAGCATATGCAACTGTCGAAGTTTGCTAAGAAATATCTGGTTTTTCAGGCTTTCTGTACCTGTGGCTTGAAAAGCGACATTTTCATTGCAACTGGTACCGCGAACCAGGAAATTTATGGGAACAAGTATCTGTCATTACGGAAAAAAGTCATGGAGTGGTATGCCACCAACAACGTGCAGGTTGTGCCCTAACACAAGAACCCTCCCAACACGCCAGAGCTCCGCCCAATCGAAAAATATTGGGCCATCGTCAAGCGGAACATGAAGAAGACCCAAAAAAAAAACTGTTGCTAGCGAGAAATAGTTTAAGGCAAACTGGTGTTCTGCGGCTAACAAAGTGGAAGAGGTGGCAGGAGTTAAACGAAAAGCCCGGCAGTTCGGTTTCAGTCAATCGGAAGCATAGTTGAATTTTTTTTTAATAAAAAATTTAATCAATTCACACGCATTCTTGTTTGACCAAATTTTGATCGTAACACCCTTTAAACTGTTTACTACTGAACGGATCTTGTCCATTCGAAAAACTTTGCTGATGACACGAAACTGATCATAGCGTTAAGAGATAGAAAGACATGTTTTGCCGGTAGAGGCTATTGTACCGGGTGCATCGTTCACTGGCTGCAGCTCGATCGATGACTGTCATGTTATTGTTTGAAACAATTAAAGTTTGATGATGTTTGGAGTTGACGTCAAGAGCAACGTTTGTTTTGAGTTCGAAAATGGAAGTGCAAGACCAACCTAGGGTGAAATTGTTGATTTCGTCAATGATCGCTGTATGCGAATGCTACTGAGATAGAAACAACATACCATATGTCGGTGCAGAAAGCGCTATTCATTAAGTTCAAGTTGGAAGTACTTGCACATTTATTATTTGCTAATAATGTGCTTTAACTAACTGGGCAATCAAAGGCCCACAATTGTAATAATTGTTATATTTTATGCTTTTTATTTTAAATCCTCCAAGATCCTGAAAAAGGACTTATAAACGCTAAAAAAAAGTCAGTAGTCTTTGGATAATTGCTGTAATTGTTGTTCAATTTTGTTTTAGTTCATATTATTGATAACCTTGATCGTTATTAAAAAAATTAAACATTAAATAATTGCTCAATCACAGCAACTAATTCCCTTTAATTTGTTTGTATCCAAAATTTCAGCTCAGAACGAGTTTTCAAAACATTTTTTTTGTTAGCAAACAGCTGGGATTAGTTGTCACTATTATTTTACAATAGCTTTTAGCAGTTTTAGGAGCAATGACCGGTTATTGCCACTTTTTTTCATGTTCTATGGCTTTTTTCCTTACAAAATGACAATTTTCTATTTCAAATAGGGGAATTTACGTATTCTCGGCAACCTAAGCAGCGACCTTCTTTCTATAGCCTTTTTCTCTATGGAACGCACACATATGCAGTATTGGTTTGTTTACAATCTTTTGCTACCAGCTGCTCTAACAATTTCAGTCGAAAGAATTGTCAAAAACTGTTTTGAAACGCTTTTACAAAGCTCCGATCTTCTCTAGTGAGAGCGAGTATTGTCGGCAACCAGTTTTTCTTCAGCAACCGTTCCATTTGAACTGCATGTAAATCTGCTGTTCTATTATCGGCAACTCGAAATCAGCTACAATTTGTAATGCGTGTGTTTCATTTCAAGAAAACCCTGCTAGATTGCTTTTTCTCATTGGTAAAAATATAGTCAAATTGAAGTTGAAAGCATAAAGAATCGTTTGCATGCATTCAGCGAAGTGTTTTCGTAAGTAAATCCAGTGAAAATAGTGTTTCAATTTGGGTTGCCGAAAATAGTCTGTCATGCCGAAGCCGTCATTTCCCCTATCTCGAGTTAAAAAAATGATATCTCTGCCATTTTTTCAGCAAATATAGAATCAAATTTCTTCTTTCCATTACTTTTAATAGATTTTAAAGACATATTTATTTCTTATACAAATTTCTTCTTTCCATTACTTGCAATAGATTTTAAAGTTATATTAGTTTGAAAAATACTTGTTTCTTACCTTTAAAATGACTATATCTTTTGATTCATTGGTCAAAACGTCTTACTTAGGTAATCAAAATGTGTGTTTTTTTTAAAGTTTTAAAAGTGTTCTGAAGAACAGTTTTCTCTAAATACAAAGCAAAAAAGGTTATGGTCAAAAAACTGTCTTTTCATGAATTACCCTAACCTTCTAGTTGTTTCAGTTCGTAGAATGCGTAGATGATGAGATAAAAATTTGACGTCTTGGACAAAGTTGCTTGGTTTTGCATCTTCTACAACTTTGAACAAGTAAAAGAAAATCCCAATAATTTCCCTGAAGAGTTAGATTTTTGAATCACCCTAAAACTGAATCACCCTGATGACTTTTCATTACCAACAACTCTTTCGAAGACTCAATTTCCATGCATTTTTCCACTCTGGACCACTGTGCGCTGTTTGCAGATCCTATCATAATGAAAACTCATTCATGGATATTTTTTTTTTTAATTAAAACACACTCACCTGTCGCATAGGCCGGCTCGATCTCCTCCTCCGAGTGCAGCTGCGGTGGTGGCACCATCGGTATCTTCACCGGTATCGGCAACGGCATCCGATCGTAATGGGAACACTCCACGTACTCCAGCCCCGCCCCTTGGCTACCCCCTAGGATGCTGCCCCCAAGGATGCTTCCCCCAAGTATGCCAACCCCGCAGATGCCCATACTGCTGCCAATGATGCTGTCCCGTCCTCCACCGCCGCCACCACTCCCAGGACCTCCACCGGGGCTGGAACCGGACCCGGACCCGTGGGCCGATCCGGATCCGCCCGTCGATCCCGGACACGAACCCACCCGACTGAGGGTCCGCGGCGTATCGGACGTGGTCATGTAGTGGTGCGTGTGGGGATGGGGATGAGGCACCGCATAGTCACCGGTATCACGAAGCGAGGTTCCCCGCGTCAAAGTATTGCCCGCCGATTGGATCGAAGGCTGCGCCGCTCGGCAGATAATATCCGTTAGTTGATTGGCCTAGATTTTTTTAAACAGAGAGGAACAACAACAACAAGAGCAACAATGTCGTCAGCAAAGCATTTAGCACAGAAGGGGAGGGATGTGGGTCATTGAGGTCATTGCTATAGTCCAATGATAAATTAATGCCATATTTTCTCGGAACGGAAGAGCTACGGAGAAGACTACAGTCAACGAAGACACAAGCAAAAAGGTACAATCCAGCTAGTCAAGCACCAGAGGCACAGACTAACTCGATTGCGAAGCGAGAGTGCTTCACCGGTAGCTCAATCTCGCCGATCCGCCATGGCCTCTTCGAGGGGGATAACAACAAGGTCAACATCGATCTACCTGTGGACTATCAAGTGACTGTCTACGTGAGTACGTGCAAATCGGAGTGCAGGGCAAATCCGGTGGAATCTGCTCGATGAACTGAGGGCTATGACAGGGACTGTGGCACGGACTGCTGCAAACTTGCTGTTGCGGTTGTTGTTGTTGCTGCTGTTGTAGCTGTGGTTGTGGTAGGGGTTGTTGCTGCGGTGGCACCGGTGGCGGAGGTTCCGCCACCTGTGGACAACTGTTCAGGCATTGCGTCGACTGCTGGTGCTGCGATTGTGCCAGGCTGTACTGTTGGTAGTTTTGATTCTGATAGGGATACTGTTGCTGTTGGGTGTTCCGCCGCGGGGACCGACCCCGATCGACGGCCGTTGCACTCCAGTATCCCCAAGCCATGACGCGAACTTTTCTCTCGCTATCTCTCGCGATGAACACGCACACCCAAGAGCACCTTAACTTCAAATTTTACTTTTACTGGAAAACTTCTCTTCGCACTTTATCGCGTTACTTCTTATACTTGGAAGGCTAACAAACTTTACTATCAGTCTGCACTTATTTTATTCTCTTCTATTATAGCACTGCGAACAACTGTTTCGCCTTTCTGCCGGTGTTGCTGAAATGAGACAGAAAAATTCGATCGTTGGTTGGGCGGGTGGGTTTGGGTGGGTTGTTTAAACTCGCATCGTCATCATCAGCACCCCCATCAACACCACCGACCACCCTCCCAGCACGTTCGCTAGATGGAAACCAGAGAGAGAGAAAGATGAATAAAGCCACGTGGGCGCTAAGTGGAACATAAATTCAGGGGTAATAACGTTTGCGTTGAACTTAGATCGGTGGTAGCTAGTTAGCCGGTTTTCCATAATAACTTTTTGTCGCGGGATGGCTTAGAAATTTATATAAATTATATACGGCGCGTATCTTTCTCACATGGCCCGTGCCGTATAGGGGAAAGCCACGGGCAAATATTTGCCCTCGTTTATTAAGTACCCACTCGTGTCTGGAAAGTGCTCGGGAACAGCGTAGAAACTTTAAAATATTAACGACTAGTCGACACAAATTAGTCGAAATACTTTCCTTTCGCAGAGTTATTTTCAGAATTCTTTTAAAATGAATTTGAAATTCTCTCTAGACGTCCCTTGAAAATTTCTTTATAACAGTCCAGAAATTATCTGTAGAACACTCAAAAACAATTCTTCAAATTCGTCCTTAGACTCTTTTTTAAGAATTTGCTTGAAATTCTCCATAGAATTCCCATGCAATTCACCTCAGAATCTCGAGCACCAATTGATAAGGGCCTATTAGCTTTTGTGAGTAAAACCCCATTGGGCAGAGGAAATTCTCCCGCCGATAATTGTCTTCAAATTTTGTTCAGCATTAACTTGGAGTTATCCTCTTATCTTCTATAAAGTGCATGGAATTATTATCTCTAGAAATTCCTTTCGAAATGCGCTTGAAGTCATCCTCGCACTTCCCTTATAGATCTACGCAGAATTATTTTGTAATTGTGCCCTCAAAATTCGCTTCGCTTGGTATTTTTTTTGGTATTGGTATTGGTCACGAATGCTGGAATTTTATTCACTCTTGGGAGTTCTAGTAAAAACTCTCTTATGGGTTTTCCTAAAGCTACCTAGAAAATATTCTCTGAAATATCTTGGTGTTATCTCTGAAATGAGCATAGCATAGCATAGCATAAACCAGGTTGCACAATGTCGTAGGAGTTAGGAGCTCCAAACTGTTGATAAGATGGAGACCCACCTTCATCCGTTGCTGTTAGATAGTAATTTGTGATTCATTACTACCTCTTAGATAAAGGATGTGTCTCTCTCCAAAAGACCAGAGCTAGGGGCCACGTCCTTGCATTTGGTGGGGAAAGGGGAGGAATGTTAGTCCGACACTTACTTAAGAGAGATGCAGAGAACTCTACGACCCCTCATAAGTGTCACGGGAAGGGTGGATTTTTGTTAGTAGGGAGGGTAAGCCATAGGATACGCCCAGCTGGCGTTGCTGGCAATCGTTACAGCAAGCATTTAATAAATAGAAGCTGTAAGTAGTTTATCTGTTCGTTGTTGCTGCCTATTACCTAAACATATTATTCAAAACAGTCTTCAGATTTTGGAATTAAGTAACGTTATCAGATCGATCATGTTGCTCCTTTGCGCTTGAAAATGTTTGTTGATCCTAAACATGCGCAATTCATTCTGATGTGTAAAAGGTTATTAATAGTATGTGGAATTGTAGATTGGAATGAAGATTCGCCCTTGGTCTAACTCCCACTGTCTGGCAGTGGTATTATGGATAAAATCTGCCTGGAATCATTTCTTATGAATGCAAAGTAGCTTGAACCCGGGACTTAGAAGGTGACAGCTCTACCACAGCTACAATAGCCCATTTCAAGAACGCAAGCATTCCGAAGCTATTTTCACACATGATAAGCCCCGCTCCAATACATTATCGATGCAAACATACACCATTGATAATGTACTGAAACTTTCAATCAAGCAGTAGTGCAATACTTGATTGACACGTATTTAGTAAGTTTTGAAATAATCGTCTTGAATTAGATGGATATTTCCTATCGAGGACAGAGGGACGAAAAGGTAAATAAACTTAGCTGAGCGTAGCTACGCATAGGTTAGAACAGTCGGCACCACATGCAATGGATAGGAATTTTAAAATTTTCACTTAATGCACTTTTCAACATAACTTCAGTACTTTCAAATTAACACTTTTTAAAAATGAAATTGTAAATTTATAACATTTTCACTAGAACGAAAACGACGCAGCAAAACAAAAAAAGTCATTTTCGCAACGCGGCCTACTTCGAGCTCCTTATTGCTGCAATTAGTGGGATTCTTATCTCTAGAATTCATTTTAAAATCTGCTCAAATTTGTTTTGGAAAAAAATTCAAAATTCTCTTAATAGTTCTTAAAAGTGACTATCCTGAAAATCAAGTCCAGTGCAAGGGTCCGGAAATCCTATTGTTTTCGAAGAGTGGACGAGGTATATTTTTCCAGATTTATCATCTGAATTAACGGGATTTACCCAGTTTTTTCCCCGGTGAGTTCAAATTCCCAGATTTTTTCGGTTTTCCCGGTTCACTGGTCACCCTACATTTTACATATGAAACCCTTGTTTTTAATCCCATTATATTTGTTTTTCCTTGAGCACATTTTGAGACGCAGCTCCACAAGAAAATTATTCCGGATAATACGCTTAAGTGGGAAATCGTAAAAACAGCGCTTTTACCTCCAAAATTCTGTAAGTTAATTCCATCTAATTTGCAATAGCAGTAACATTACAATACTAAAACTTCACTGAGAAGCTAATTCTACGAGCTAGCCAGGTTTACAATGAAGACCTAGAATACTCAATAAAGCTACTTTATGCTGCCAAGGCAGTGCTTGTCTACGTATATTTGAATCATTATTCAATCATAAAAGTGCTACTCCAAGCAATCATAAACAAAATTCCTCTCAAGCTAGACCATTATCGTAAATTCTCATTTAGTTAGTTCTCTGAGCTAATCAAGCTGTTAAAAACACAATAAGGAACAATAACTAGAAGTATTCACACAAAATCACCATCTTCTCTAAAAGCTGGGTTTAGACAAGGCAAGTCAATTGATCAACTCAGTTCAATTCAACTGACTTGAACGTGAATTGAACGTGTAAACCATAGTTGAAGATGCTAATTTCAAATAACAGACTAAAGTGGTAATGTGTATACGATAGATGAGGAGGATATGAAAGTATAGAATGTATAGTTCTGTTTAGAGTACGGCAGTGTGAAAATTGCATATAGAGAGTAGGACAGCGAGCTAGGACAACTTTTAGGAAGGTACAAATCGGTTTTATCATCTCTCTTTACCAAACTCCCCCTTTGGAGAGGGATGGTGAGGGATGTCGCGAAATCTTCTTCTTCTTCTTCGCATTTCAAATTTGTTGCATATCGCATATTAGCTTATTGCGTGCTCTCAACTTAGTTTTCTAAATGCACTTCTACAGTTATTAATTGAGAGCTTTCGATGCCTGTACCATTTTTGCATTGGTATAATTGTGTGGCAAGTCCAATCATACTTCTATGCCCAGGGAAGTCTAGAAATTTTTCAACCCGAAAAATTCCTAGACCGGACCGGGAATCGAACCCAGCCACCTCCAGCATGGTCTTGCTTTGTAGCTGCGCCTTTACCGACTGAGCTAAGGGAGGCCGAAATCAGCCATACTTATTAATAAGTTTCTGAGAAATATTTCCCTGACTTTGAATTAAATTTCCTGAGATTCTCTGATTTTCAAGGTCCAACAATTAATTCCCAGATATTCCTTGATTTTCCAAGCAACACACTAGTTCTACATCAGTTTATATAACCGTTTTGATGGTAAAGAAGTTTAATCCACATAATTGGATGAAGCTGTGTTACTTGGGTTTCCAGGTTTTTCCAGGAAGTCGACACCCACATTAAGCGATAAATTTCTTCTTCAAAGATGATATTTAAATATCAGTTCATGTGTAGGCAGATTTATTGCGTTTCTTACAATCTTACAGACTTGAACACAGGACTAAAGCGTAGGACAGGTCTTGATTGAGATAAATTATATTAGGTACGTTACAAATCTGTGATTAGGCAACCGGCAAAGCAAACACTTGCAAACCATAATTTTCGGCACCCTTAAACTAATGGAATCGTTTTTCAATATGTCACGTCAAAATTAACGACAATCTTCTGTTCGCACCGGCAAGCTTTCCCTAGTAACCGAAGTATTCAAACTTAACAATATCAAACTGGAAAAACTGGAATCCATAAACAACCTCCCATCATGAGCCCAAAAGAGGCTCGAAGCCTACAACGAATCCAATTAATGCGATTTTATGGTCCTGCCTGCCTGCTCGGTGGTGGCTTGATCCAGTGGGTAGTGAAGAAGGACACATCGGTTGGCCACAATAAAAATCTCCGACAGCAGTAGAGCGCGAAAGCGTGGCAGGGGGAAGTCAGACTTTTCACGTAATCATTAATGCTAATGTTTTAGATGCCCTGCGGCTTTCGGAGTAGAGCGTTGCTGGTGACTGGCGACGACGACTACGACAAGCATCATTGCGGTAATTAAAATATTTTTTGTCTTCGGTCGTCCTGGCAAGTGGATGCGATAGGCACTTGATTTCTTCTCCTGGATGAGGACTTTATTTTTTTCGGTACGGTTTTTTTTTTTTGTGTGTGCTGCCAATGGGGAAGATCTTAACTTTGCTTTAATTGATGGTGTGAAATGTCAAGGTTCGTCACTGGGGACAAGGGAGATTAAGCTGAAGCTTGAACGTCTCCAACGGTGCATATTAAAATACTTGACTAAGAACCGCCATTATTTATATTTTTGCTTTTACCAGATTTGCGAAACGCAAGGCTACTGAAGTAAACTATTGCTGGGAGTAGATTACAAAATCGTAAAGGCCTTTTAGAAGTGAATTGTCGGATATTTCAATATTAACAGTCTAAGAACTCCCGTATTATCTCTGAACTGAACTCAAGTTACCCAAACTTGAGTTGTGCATGTTTGCTATCAATAGAAACGTTTCAAATTCTTTGAACAGGCAGATACGGTATTCATAAAAACGAGTAG